CTAGTTCCTTCTTATTTCATAGTGTGTTCTGTTTATCTAAAAATGAACCTTTTCATGTATTACAAAGCGTCATTCAACAATGTCAGAAGAAATTTTATTTATTTGCCTGGAACAGAAATTTATATTCCCTACCCACAAATACTATTCAAGTTCACATACTGTGATTTCAAATCAATCTTCCATGCCCCCCCGATACATGGTTATATTTGCATGCTGAGTTCAAATAGTGCACTACTGAGCATGGTACGATACATATATGCAATGCATTGTGGGAGAGAACTTCCCACTCTATAGAATAGAAAGCTATTATCACACTTGAAAATTGACAAATTTTGAGATATGAAGAAATCAACTTGCCACATCAACTTGATACATGTAACAGTGTAATTATGCATGTTTTGTCCATATTCCACGTTATTTTAGACTTGGTGAATCCATGTTTGAACATGGCTTGCATTTATAATAGAATAAATTTAGTAGTAATTATAATTTTATATGATTTCAGGGAAGTGTTATTTATACGGATCAGCCTCTGGATTTCAACGATGCTGATATATTAAAAAGTATTTGTACAATTTGTAAGAATATTGTGAATCAAGAAAACCCCAAACTAGTAACGAAAGGTGGAGCACAGTGTTTCCCAACAGGTGAGTGGCATTGCATCCTAATACATGTCCATTCTGAGAAAAGGTGGAGCACAGTGATTCTATTCTATTCTATTCTATTCTATTCTATTCTATTCTATTCTATTCTATTCTATTCCATTCCATTCCATTCCATTCCATTCCATTCCATTCCATTCCATTCCATTCCATTCCATTCCATTCCATTCCATTCCATTCCATTCCATTCCATTCCATCGTTTCGTTTCGTTTCGTTTCGTTTGTGCTTTGCTTCGTTTCACTGAGTTTCTTTTCGTTTCAATTTCAATTCATTTCATATCATGCCTTATTGTTATTTATTTTAGAATTTGAGGATAAAATTGACATGTTGGGTTTCATATATCCCGAATGCAAGGACATACCAAAACCAGCTCTGTTGAAAGGTCAGAAGTCACACTCTATGGCTGCCAGGTTATCTGAAAATGAGTTTGTCTTTAGATGGTATGCCTTGGCATTTGAATCAGGTGAGTAGCAAATAATTTCATTGATCAATTTTTTTTCTATTACATTGCCAATAGTCGTGGATTCAGTTGTAATCGAGTTTTCAGCATCATGGAAGTCATCAGGTCACTGAATAGCACATAGGTTTCTCTGTTTAAATATTGAAGATGGGCTATTGCAAAATCAATATTCAATAAAGTATTTTCCATTAAGTCTGAGACTGTAGCTGTTGATTTGTTTTTTGTATAACTATTAGGTTCTTATCTTTTGAATTTGTATGGAAAAAATTTTACATGTACTTATGTAGGTAGATGTGTATGCCTGAACTTGATAAGACAAATAATAACTAGATCGATAAATTGCGCAATTTGACAAATTTTCATCAGTGTAACGCATAACTGCTGCAATTTTTGGTTTTGGCCAATTTACTCAATTTGGCCAACTAAATTTTGCCAACAATAATTTCATAAATGAAACACATAGCTACATTTTTAGTTCCCCTTCAGGCAAAGCCAGAAAGGGGAGTACTAATTTTACTTTCTTTCTCATTTTCAAGTTAGTGCAAGTTATCTCTCACATTTTCTAGAGACTCTGCAGCAGATGTCAATGAAACTTGGCAGGTTGATGAACAAGTCTGTGTTACATATGCATGTAATTTTTTTTTCCAGATCTGTAATCCTAAATGGGTCTTTTTCAAGATTTTCTTCCAAAATTACCTCTCTCTACTACACTGACAGAGCAACTGAGCATGCTCAGAATAATTGATTCTGTTAAATTCAGATTCAGATTCATGAATTCTTGATTTCTGATTCACAAGTTTTTCCAAATGTATTTGATCGGTAGTATATACTTTTCAGAACTCAGAACCAACTTTGCAGAACGTAAGAACCCAATTTTAAAATAGCTTCTTTATCATTGAAAGTCATCTTTTAGGCTATTATTAATATGACCACACCCTACCCCAAAAATATGTAAATTAGCTAAATTCACTACGTTCAATTACCCACCATAGACTCCGGTCAGTCAAAATGACTATTTTGAACTGTAGGCATTAATCAGCGATTCTGCCGGTGACGGAGAGATAGAATCTAGGTCAGGGGAAGCCCCATGACCTCAAGATTCTTTTACCCCTTACGTCACGAATCCACGTGACTGAGCCACATGGCAGCGCCATAGTAGCCGTCAATCACTCTGATTTTTTCTCCGCCTCGAGTGGAGATGAAATTTAGCGAGCTCTGCTGGATCGCCTGCTTTTTT